TTGCTCACGTTGCTGCATCAGCGCCCGTCCGCATGGCGGGCCCTGCCGATGCATGCGCCTGCGTGCGAGGCCGCCCCTGCCCGCCTGCCCTTCCCAAATCCCGTACGGATTTGCGCCGAGCAACCAACAACCAAGCGACCTCCCCACCGACCGACCTACTGTCCAGGGTGACAGCCACGACATGGCTGTGAGCAAGGGCCGCGGCGAGCTGCAGGGGATGATCGACACGTTCCGCCTGCGGCCGCGCGAGGAGTGCCTGGAGGCGGCGCACCGCCTGTACCGCCTGGCACTGCAGCAGGGCTTCACCAAGGGGCGGCGCGTCAACCAGGCGCGCGGGGGCTGAGGGGGCTGCGGGGCTGCGGCCAGCAGTGCGTAGATTTAGCAGGCATTGGTGGACCTGCGCTGCGTTTGCAGTGGCGGGCGGGACGCCGGCACGCAGCTGGACAGCCGGCTGGCCCTATGTGAGGGGCGTCCTGGTGGGCAGCCCCTCAGGCGCTCGTGCCGCACTGCCAGCGCACCTTGCCATCCCCTCTTTGGCCGCGTGCCCACCCGCAGGTTGCTGCGTGCTGCCTGTACATCATATGCCGCCAGGAGGGGAAGCCCTTCATGCTGATAGACTTCAGCGACCTGCTGCAGGCGCGCCCTGGGGTTGATTTGGGGGGGAGGGGCAGAGTTGACGTGAGGAGTAGAGGCAGGCGCTCTTTTGTGTTGTGCTTGTAGGCGAGGGGCTTTGCAGTATGAGGGGCGCTGGCACGGCCTGGCAGCCGCGTGCTGCCTCCTTGCGTTCCAGCCATCATCGTATTGCGGTCTTGCACCCCACCTATTTCAGGCTCATGCCCCTTCGGGTTCTCACCCCATCTTCCCCCCTTCTCCCTCCCAGCCACACAAACACACACACGTGCACACACACACACACACACACACACACATATATGCGCATGTACACACACCACACGCACATGCGCACATCCACAACGTCCATGATTGCCAACTATCCATTGACGCCGCCACCACCACCTCCCCTCCAAACCCACAGGTCAACGTCTTCAGCCTGGGCGCCGTCTACGTGCAGCTGCTGCGCCTGCTGCGCCTTGAGGACCACCCCACCTTCGCCGCCCCCTCAGACCCCTCCCTCTTCCTCTCACGCTTCTGCGACGGCCTCGCGCTCGGCCCGCCGGAGCCCAACGGCGACCCCTGCGCCATAGCGCGCGCCATCAACCAGACCGCGGTGCGCCTCATCTCATCCATGAAGCGGGACTGGATGCAGACGGGGCGGCGCCCCAGCGGCGTGTGCGGCGCGGCGCTGTTCTTGGCGTGCCACATCCACGGGGTGGCGCGCAGCAAGCATGACGTGATGCGCGTCGTGCACGTGGGGTGGAGCACGCTGGACGAGCGCGTGCGCGAGTTTCGGTCGACGCCCGTGTCTGCGCTGACGGCGTCGGAGTTTGAGGCGGCGGCGGCGGCTGCAGTGGAGGACGAGAAGCGGCTGCTCGCGCAGATGGTGGGGCGCTGGGGGCCGCGCAGACCTTGGGGGCATGTGGGCAGGGAGGGAGGGG